ATCCCCGTTCCCTCTCCCTCCCTCCCTCCCCCCATCCTTCCCCCCTCCTTCCCTCCCTTTTACCCTCTCACATGCACTCAAACACCCTCCCCTCCCATCCCCCCACCCCAATTCCATATGTAGGGGAATGCCATCCAGTTGGGGTCATGTAGATCTGACAGGTCCTGTGAAGTAGGGACTAGGGCTTCTCTCCTGTCTCTAGATTAAGGCAGTTATCCCTCCATGGGGGATATGTTCGCAAAGTCCTTTTGTGCACCAGGGATACATCCTGGCTCCACTGTCTGAGGTCTCTTAGACTGCTCAGTCCTTCTGGCTGAGACCCATATTCAGGGGGGGCCTGAGTCAGTCCCATGCTGGCTTCCCAGCTATCAGTCTAGTGGCCGTTAGCTCCTCCTTGTTCAGGTAAGCTGTCTCTATGTGTTTCTGCCGCATGGTCTTGTCCTCTCCATCTGCATCTGGGTTCTAGTTCGACTCAGTGTTTATGTACTCCATAATGCTCTTTAATGCAGTTCCTCAGGTTGTGGAGACCCCAAACATAAAATTATTTCATTACTACATCATAACTGCAATTTTGCTACTGTTATGAATTTTAATGTAAACATGTGATATGCAACCCTACGTTGAAAATTACTACTAGACAGTGTTGGGGCATAAGCTGGTCTAGAGCTGCCACATTCTAGCTTTCTGAAATCACTGCTTCTTCTGCCCACTGTCGTAGACACTGTAGCTTGCCAGTTCAATTTCAAGGTTCCTTTTTATGAACAGAACCTTGGGGTAGGGTAGGGATGGGAACAAAGTACTCAGCCAAAAATCAGGATCTCCATTGCACGAGTGACCCACAGATTTCCATGTAGAAGTCGAATGAACTTTCTGGAAAACACAAGGGGGCAGGCTTTGCTAGGCAGTGTCTCTCCTACTACTTGGGGGTATGGATGTATTTACTGGTGTTGTTTTGTTATTCTAGACATTTAGGAAACTTTGAGTATAAAAGGCAGTCTTGGAGGATGGACTGACACTAGTATCTTGGGACTCCCTCCAGACTTTTCATACATTGAAGGAGATCAAACTCTTATTCTCTGCTACGAATAATGATTATGCCAACAATCCATACCAGATATGCCAGCCTATATCAATATTGCACTATGACATTAGATTTCTATCTACTAATCCTAGTCAGTTTTCTGGAAATGTCAATTGAAGACACACACACACACACACACACACACACACACACACACACACACACACAGTTCATTGGATTTATGAGTGTCCATTTATTAAATCTTATATAGCAAATGATTCCCATAGAAACACTCTAAAACATTACACAAGTGACTTGGTGATTTAGGTGAGTAATGGCTACAAAGACAAATGCCAACTGTGCCTCTGGCTCTTCCTGCCTCTGAAAATGTCTCTGTGTAGCCCTGCCTGTGTGTGCCTAGCAGACCCCATCCAAGTTTTTGCCCAGTGGGGAGTGCTAAGACACAGTGCTCTCAGCTACTTTCCTCCCAACCTGGAGTGAGCATGAAAGCACCTGGACAGAAGTGGGTGGCAGGTCACACGGTCTGGCTGTGGCCATTGGGTTAGCGCCAAAATGTTTAGGCACATTCAGATCTCACTCCTGACACCAGAATGTAGAGAGGAGATTTTCTCCTCCTGCCTGTTCATTGGCCATAACAGCTTTGTTCATCAACCAATAAAAAGCAGCCCATATTTGCAGCATAAAGAAGGGCCTCCCACATCAGGCCTGTGGCTCTTCCTGCATCTGAACAAGGTGAGGAAAAGCTTTGCTCTGAAGTGGAGTTGATACCACTGCCTGAGACCACAGAGTTTGGAAACATACATTTCATTTTTCTTTTCTGTAGGCTTTGTTAATCTATTTCCTGTCTTGTGTACAAATCTCCTAGACCTGTGCTCACCTTGGGTAGAAATTATATATCTTCTTACTTTGTTCCTTTAAGAGTTTTCACTTGGTAGGCTGATTAGACTCAGAATAGACTGCAAGTTATGTTCTGACCAAAAACAACAGAGGCTCAATCCAGTCCAGGGGAGAGTCAGACAGGAGGAACAACAATGTGAGTGTTCACCCATACCTCCTGGACACTGCCTGGTAATCCCAAGGGTGCTCCATGTGAGGAGATCGGAATGTAATCTTTGTGTTTGACTAAGCCTGGATTGTCACTGCATGTATGTCTCAGGAACTTTCGAAAGGCATGCTGAGCAGGTTTCTCTCTCTTTCATAGTCAGTAGTGCCAAAGAGGCTGATATCAAACAATTAACTTCTATTGAGAGTAGAATTTATATCAGCCACAAGAGGGCAAAGGCAGACTGGCAGAAAGAAAATGAGACCTAGCCAGGCATTGTAGTGTGCATTCTGCCAGCCAGGAGACCAGGCATTTCCCTCCTTCGCACGTATTCCTACTGTGTAATTCGCCCTTTCTCCTCCCTGCATCTTCCCAAATTGACTCTGTTCTTGTAGTTTTATTTGAGTGGGACAAAGCTGCTCTGGTTCCCTTGACCACATGCCAGAGAAACCAAGGGCAGGGTTGCATTTTTGGAGATGCAGTAAGACATTTCTTTGGACTTAATAATAATGTGGATGTCATTTTTTGGTGTTTTAGGGTGTGCCCGTTAATATGCTAGAGGGCACTTTGATGATGGGGTCTACTTTTGTGTTTACAGGTTGCTGTCTATGTAGTGAATGAGAGAGGGAGAGGGAGGGAGGAAGGAGTAGTTTAATTTTCTGCCACCAGGTAGCACTAAGGAGAGCCCAATGAACTGCAGAAGTGTAGGGCAGGGCCTTAGAGCCTCTTTCTCCTAAGGGGCAGCCTGAAAGGGTCAGCCTGAACAGAACCTTTAAGAAATGCTCCCAGAAGCAGATGTCTGTGTGCTTTCACATCCCATCTGGGAAGAGTGTTGGAAATCCAGCTGAGAACTCTGTCCGTGGGAGTCAGCTGTGTGAAAGAGCAGTTTGCTTTGAGGATGGCTGTTCCACTCAGCCTCTGCCCAAGACCTTCAAGGCCAGCCTTTTGCCGCACTGTGAATGTTCCTCCACCTGCCATTGTGTGTATGGGTTGATGGTGTATGGGCAGAGGCAACCAACAGCTCTAGATACAGCCCTCGTCCTTTTTTCTCCTCAAACCTCAAGATCAGTCACTTGGCATTTTAAATGCATCCACCACAGTCCACAGGATTCAGACAGCATATTGGACACAAAAAACTCATCCATCCTGTATGTCCCATAATCTGTGACTTCTCATAGCTGTGACATACATGCACAAAGACGCACATGTGCAAATGAAATAAAAATAAAATGGCGTACTTCTCTCCTTAGGCTATTTACACTTTGCTTTGACCAAAACATGTGGCACATCAGTCATCTAAAATGTATGGTGACCTTCCCAGTTATACACTCCCAGCCCCAGCTTAGGTTTTTTTTTTTTAACCTTTCTCTTATGAGTAAAATATGTGGGCATCATTTCCTCTCTGGTGTCTCAGAAAGTCTCAGTGTAGAAGCAGTGATAGCTGTGCTTTTTTTTGGGGGGGGGGGTGAACTGTAGTTCAGGGTTGGGACTAGAGGGATATACCTGGCAACGAAGACTGTGTACCTCCTGTTGCCCCAAATCTAACAAAGTGGGCAGAGGTTTGTGGGAGGAACGGGCTGAACTGAAAAGGGAGCTGACTCTGACATGTGGTGAGCCAGCACATGGTGGTGCTGTGGCCACACACTTTGGGAAGGGCTGCTTCCTAAAGCTAGTTCAAGCTGGCTGATTATGCTGCTGTGACCAGTCAGTCTTTTGGAGTCACACACACTTTAATTGGGCTTGTGATGACAGTGACAACATGACATCATATAGGGAGACTACAGCACATGTGTTATTCAAACCTCAGAGCTCTGTATATGTCTTGCCCTTCTTTTTTGGAGATAATTCTCTGTCCCGACTTTCTCTCAAATCCCAGGTCTTGCAAACTGTATCTTTTTCCTCTTTGGCCTTAATTTGAGGCTTCAGAATTCAAATGAAGACTCTATGCCATTCAAGAGATTGATTCTTTGAGTTACCCTTCTCACTCCTAGCTTTTGCCCTAGCATGGTAGATTGCAAAGAGGACATAGGTAATATTGGCTGTTTTTTTGATGAATTCAGCGACTAAATGATGAAAAAAGCAATGGTATATTGTGCATCTTAAGTAACATGCTTGGCTATAGTTTTTCCTCTGAATTTATTTCCATCTGAATATTTCTGGAAAAGATCAACTAGGGGAGAAAGGTAGACGGGTGTGTGTGTGTGTGTGTGTGTGTGTGTGTGTGTGTGTGTGTGAGAGAGAGAGAGAGAGAGAGAGAGAGAGGCAGAGAGAGATAATTTTTTATATTTTTCTTTCATTTAAATCTTGTTTGGTATTAAAAGGCATTAGCCTACTAAAGAGATTGTGTGAGTTACTGGTAAGCATTACTAACATTCATGTTGAGAATCTCAGTGAAAACAGTAGCAACAGAACTCAGCATTTAAGCCACAGAGGAGAACATTAAATGTAGGATCAAAGGGATATAGGGCATTATAAATAAATAACTGTAACTGTAAATACATATACATATATTTCATAATTGGTTCAAATAAGTGAGTACTAAGAAATTTACCATTAATTCTTACTAATGTTAGAGGTCAAATAGTTTCTCTAACTTTCATGTATACATACATCCTGATTTGTTCAAATTTAGCATCCTTAGCTGCTGCTGAACTCTTTCTTTTGTCCCTTTTCCTTTCACTATGGGAGGGGGTGTGGTTACATGGAGGAAGACAAGCTTCAGAAAGATTAAAGCATATTGGGAAATGGCTGTGTCCAGAGTGAAGAGAACACATGTCATTGAAACTAGATACGTTGTAAATATGCCAGGCACATAATTGGCATAGTTAAAAATTGTAAATTCTAGGAAGTTTGAGACTATTTCCTGAGGGCAGTAGGGTCTAAATTCCAATAACATCCTGTGGATTCTCCTTTCAGATGGCAGGAACAGCACGCCATGACCGTGAGATGGCTATCCAATCCAAGAAAAAGCTCTCCACGGCTACTGATCCTATTGAAAGACTGAGATTGCAGTGCCTAGCCAGGGGCTCTGCAGGTATCAAAGGTCTTGGCAGGTAGGATGGTGTCTTCATTACTTTTCAATTGCAGTGACTAAACTATGAATAAGGCAATTTACAAAAGAAAACATTTAATTTGGGTTCATGAATGGTTCTAGATGGTTAGAGTCCATGACCATCATAGCATGGAGCATGCCAGCAGGCAGGCAGGCGTGGGACTAGAGTAGTAGCTGAGGGCTTATATCCCAATCCATAGACAGGTATGGTGCATGCTTTTAGGGCACACTTATTAATCTTTCCCAAACAGTTCCACCAAATGGGGACCAAAAATTCAAGCATATGAACCTATTGGAACCATTCTCCTTCAAATCACCACATTTGGGGTGAAATGAAATAGACAGATCAGAATTTTCTAGGTGAGCCTTATGCTGACTTTGTGATATTGGGCAAATCATATCCTCTTAAGGCCTCAATTTCTTATCTGTGAAATTCATCATTGGGAAAGCTTATCTCTGAGTCTTCATGACAGTGTTTGGTTCTTAACCCCTAATTCAGCAAAGCATGTGTCTGTTCCAAGGAAGGGAAGCTCCTGGGGCACTGGAAGTAAAGAAAACATGCCAAGAGTATGGACACTTGGAAGGACAAGGAGAGAGAACCTCCCCAAAGCTGGGGTAGAAGAAGGAGATGGAGCAATGATTAAAGAATTTGGAAAAATAGGAATGGTGGCTGTTACAAGCAGTTTGCCCTCCAGCCTGGTCCCAGAGCCCTGTCAGCCCCAAATAATACACAGTGATGCTGTATTAGATATAAAGCTGTTGGCCTGTTACTAGCATTTCTTATTGGCAAGCTCTGTCTTAAATATTAACCCATTTCTATTAATCTAAGTATTTCCGTGTGGTCTTGGCTTACTAGAGAGAGGGTATGGAGTTCTGTTCTCTTAAGTCTTTACAAGTTGAATCTCCTCCTACCTCTTCCCGAATCCTCCTCATTTCCTAGTCCTGCCTATCTTGCTTTCCTATTGGCCAACAGGGCTTTATTTGTTAACCAATAAGAGGAAGGTATGTACAGAATGGCATCTCCCATTAGGTGGCACATAGCTGTTACCTAGCACTTGGGAGGTGGAGGCAAGAGGATCAGCAGTTTGATGCCATTACTGGCTTAATAATGAGTTGAGGCCAGCAGCAGCCTTGGCTACATGAGATCTTGTCTAAAAGAGAATTTGTAATTTGCTCCCAGCCAGGCTTTCATGTCTCACTTGCCACTGTAACTGCCCAAGGGATAACTCAGTGTTCATCCTCAGTATTCTATGTGTCAGGGATCCTTATTACATTCCCTGATATTTGATAGCATGAGTAGACCTGAGAACAAAAAATTCAAGGAGAAAGGAGATTGGGATCCTCCTAAGAATGGCTGCTGCATATTTTAACAAATTATAATGAATGTCTTCCATAAGCCTGGCCTTGTACATGTTTTGGGGGCCTTACAGGTGGACAAGCCTCTATAGGTCCCATGGAAGTCTACAATTAATGGAGTAAACATGTTCTAAATGTGCCTTTCAGTGGTATGAGATGTCTGATAAAGAAGTACAGACTGTCTAAGTAAGGAGAAGCCAACCTCACACCCAGGGGCTGAAGAAACTTTTATTTCCAGTACCAGGCACCTGGGGAAGCCCCTCCAAAACATCCCAAGAAACACATACACAAGTCACTTCCATGCCTTTCTCAAACTAAGCTTGGCTCTGTTAGAGTTTCAAGGCTGTAGATACATGGACCTTGCTATTCATGCTCTCACAGCCACTGCCTTTCAGTGTTGTGTGTTTCTAACCTCCAAGTCTATCTTAGGTTCACTTCCTTGTCTTGAGTGCAGACCTCTGAAGAACCCTGACATGTGTTCCACTAATGATCATGCAATTGGATTCTTCCTGCTGCCCATGCCATTCCCATCTTTTGTTACTATTCTGAACTAACCCCTCCACTGTGAGCTGCTACCAACTCACCCTAAGCTTTCTGCTTAAACTTCCCTCTGTTTCCCTTATTGTTAGCCTTGGTCTCCCTTAATATGTCCTCAATTCATGTAGACGGAAGCCCTCTCTAGACCCTTGCCTTAAGATATTGAAAGGCAGGCACTCCCTTTTCTTCTAAGTCCAGACCCTAGTAAATATACCCCCACAAACACAAACATTCTCACCAATTTTTCCTTTGAAGAGTATCTTTTTAGTTAGTATCTGCCATCTACCAAGCTCCAGAGTGCTCATTCTGTGAAACATACGCTTGTGGAAGTATCAGTCTACTCTGTCTTAATTATTTATTCTGAAGGTCAGCATCAAGATGACTCTATTATCATTTTGGCACCTTTACTTTTCGACGCTGAAATCTGGAAAATTTAATAGTATATATTCTTCCTTATACACTTCCTGCTGTCCAATAATTACAGATAGCTATTTCCATTGCTAATATCCTGAATTCAACTTATGTTTTATACATGACAGAAAGACCTCATCTTTACTTTGTCTCCCTGTACATTCCCAGGAGAAAATTCTCTCTTGAGCTCTAATTTATATTTTATATCAGAAAAGACATTCTAAGATTCTAACTAATTGGCAACTAGTGAAAAATCTCACATAGTTGCTTTACTATCCAAAAGCAAGATGAATCACTCTTTTCTGTAAATGGAGCTATCAACACTCATCATCTCTTGAGTTGGAAAATTGAGAATTATCTTCATCAGTCCAACACACTGATGATTTGATTTCTTCAGCATTTTGAGGTCTCTTCTCATACTGTCATCTCAGTTGCTTATGTGCAGACTCTCAGCCTCTTCCCCCTGGACCTTACCACACCAGCATTACTGCTTCATTCACCACCAAATTTTCTGTATTATAATTCTTTCCACCAGCTCTTTCTAAGGGCCTCTAAAACTTACCTTGTTGATATTCTGCTTATGAAAATTATGCATTAAAATTCTTCATATTCTTCTATCAGCCTACTTGTCCATGCTTACTGCACCTCCTTTAACCTTTGGTAGCTGTCTTCTTGCTTCCACAGATGGGCAAGGGGTGTTCCAATTGATCTGAAATGCTTCTTTTTCCAGAACTCAGAAAGACTGATTGCCCCATCCCTCCTATATATCTTTGAATAAAGTCCTTAAGGATAGAGTCTATGTATACATGTCCACCTATGTATTTCATATTACAATGTTTAATCTAATGTTTGTCAGATTATAAGATGCCTAGCTGATGCTGAAATTTGTTGAACAATCCAAGATATGTTAGCAATTTATTTATTTCAAATTTATCATTAAAAAAGAAACTTATCAATCTATTTCTTGTAGTGGGAAAGTTTATTCATTAACTCATCCATTATCATCTGGTGAATGTTAATAGAGTGCCCTACATAGTAAATTTATAACAATAAAACACATAGATATGGGCTCTGCCACCCTATAATCCATGTTCAAGTCTGTATGATGCACTTATTTACTTATACAATATCCAAAGTGTTCTTTCTAGTTTTTAAAATGAAATATAAAATATAAATGAGTAATAGTCTAACATTTTATTTATTCTTATATTTTTCATTGCCATTCAGTGTAAATAGTTTCATCATAGTATTTTATGCCCTTTTGTTAATCCCCTCCCCATTGTCCCCTTCTATTTACTTCTTCTTGCTGGTTCCCTTCCTCCCGACAGTCAGGCATCCGCTTTTATGTCATTTGTATCTGAATCTCTCACCTTTACACAGAGCTAGCAGAGAAAATTGTAAGTCATGACTTAGAAATTGCACATTATTTTAGCATTAATTAGAAGTGTAAACAGTATAGACTTTTACGGAAAAGTGAGACCCAGTTGTATTCAAGTTTACATAGCTATTGTTACTGTAGAACTAGAACTCAAGTTTATCCCTTTGAAATCTCAGATGATAATTCTATCTGCTATAATTCTAGCAAAAATATAATTCTTAGGGCTTTAGTATGGGGAATGCTGTATGAAGCAGGAGAAGGGAAGAGTGGAAAAAAATAAGATCATTATAGTATGGTATGACATTTATAGAAAGACCTTAAGTATCACAAGGTCAATGAAAAGATATAGCATTGCTTTCATACAAGTTGTAGGTACCATGTATTTGGAATGATTAGACTCCTTGGCTATAATATACATGTTTCTAAGCAGAGGCTTCCTGTGGACAAAACAGCATCTATAAGGTTTATGTGGTTTGTGCACATATGTTAGAGAATTAGAAGCTTTATTTATGCTTGATATTATTTTTTGGAGATTTTACCCATATTAATATGATTAATAAAAAAACTATACTTCAATTGCTTGTTTACCTTTTTTGGCATTTGTTTAAGTGGAAGATGAAGAAACTATGGATTTATTAGCAATCATGGATTCCTGAAAAGGGTTACCCTACATTAGTAGCTCTTTATTATTATAACAAGATACCAGGGATAGTAAATGTACAAGGAGAAAAAGTTCATTTTGACTCATAGTCTTAGAGGTTTCAGTTTATGATAAATTAACTTCATTGCTTTGGGCCTGTGACAGGGCAGTGCCTCAGCACAGGGAGCATGCAGTAGAACTAAAGCTGTTTCTTTTTGCTGTCTGGGAGGGAAAACAGAAGAAAGCAGGCAGGGTCCAGACTATATCCTTTGCAAGGTCATGACTGCAATTATCTAAACTACCAACCTCCAGCATTGCCACCACACCTGACAGCCAAGCCTTCACACCTAGATGTTAGGGAGACAGAAAAGATAACTACTGTAGATGTCATGCAATTAGACTCAAACAGTGCATTTGTAGCCTTCTCTGTGTGTATGCATACCCATGCACCTGTGTTTGTAGATTTGCTTTCCCATAGGAAATGCTGAAAGCCTTTGATCTCAAGAGTGAGTCTGAAGAGAAAACTCAAAAACACTGTAATATATTTGAAAGCAAACAGCAGTGGTTCACTTTTTTATCTTCACACTTACACATTGTTCTTTGTGGGTTTTTTTTTTTTTTCATGTTGTTATCTTTAGAGTGTTTCGGATCATGGATGACAATAACAACCGAACCCTTGATTTCAAAGAATTTTTGAAAGGGTTAAATGATTATGCTGTGGTCATGGAAAAAGAAGAGGCGGAAGAACTTTTCCGGAGATTTGACAGAGATGGAAATGGGACGATAGACTTCAATGAGTTTCTTCTCACATTAAGAGTAAGTACGTTCCCCAACCCTCACCCCAGGAATCCACGTTTTCATGTGGTTTGGGTTGGCTACTTCAAGGTTTTGTTTTCAGAACTTGCTAGTATATTTCAGAGGGGGTGTGAGTAGAACACTGAGCCAGCTGAGAGACTTTCTCAAGTATCTCACTTAGATTTTCACATCACGGATGGGAATAATGAACCACATGTGCCATAGAAGAGACTCATTCAAATGTGTATTTATCCGAGTGTGTGTGTTTATTTTTATTTTTTAAATTTATCTAGCCCCCAATGTCCAGAGCCAGGAAAGAGGTAATCATGAAAGCTTTTAGGAAGTTAGACAAAACTGGAGATGGCGTTATAACCATTGAAGACCTTCGTGAAGTTTATAATGCTAAACACCATCCAAAGTACCAAAATGGGGAATGGACAGAGGAGCAAGTCTTCCGGAAATTTCTGGACAACTTTGATTCACCGTATGACAAAGATGGATTGGTAAGTGAAAAAGATGTATCCAGATAGAGTTTATCTACCCACATTAAAACTGGAAATGGGGAATAGGTTCAAAGCCTTAAAAAAAAAAAAAAAAAAAAAAAAAAAAAACCTCAACATGTTGACACCATCCCTGTTACAAATAGAAGGAAACATTCCTTTGGAGCCATCTGAACTATTAAAAACTAAAGTGAAAAAAAAATGTATGTTTCAAACATATACTGAGACAGATATATCTTTGTTGTTAGGGGATCCACAGGCTGCTAATTGCTCATCAAGGAAAATGTAGTGTTTTGAACATCAGTTACTGTTGTCTTCATATACCGCTAGCTATATTCTCAAGAATTTGATTACAATAAAAGTGTGCTTAATTTTAAATAGGACCAAGATGCTTTGGTATAGATATGCAAGACATTTCAGGACATCCCATTCCTTTTACACTTGCCCTTAGGAGCATCATTTGCTATCACACTTTGCTGTGTGAAAAAGCAGCTCATAGTAAAGGGAATTCCAGACAGCAGAATTGACTCTGACTCATCCTTTAGTAAATTTTGAGATTAGCTTGCACATCTAAATGGCAGTGAACTTCAAGAAAAAAGTATTCACTCTGTCTTTACAAAAATGTTGTATATTGGAAGAGATGGGTTGAGAGACCTAAGCTACTTGTTTAAAAACTTGGAGGCAATTTTTGCCTCAGAGGACCTGAGAGTTATGGTGATGGGGGAGGGGTACCTATCAGCCTAAGCCTCAGCAGCAGCAGCACTTCTTAACCTTTGGGCATTACCAGTAAAGGTAAGTGGGGCAGTGACTAGGAAGGGGCCGTGCTTATGGGAAGAAGAGGCAAGCCTTCTCCTTCTGAAGGGAATTTCCCCCTCCCTTTCCCATAAAACTTGATGACTTGTCTTGTTATCTAGGGACAGGATGTAGGAAGGGGAAGCTCCCTTGCCACTGACATTTTGCTGGTCAGAGATGGAGAAGTAGTTGAAGTAGTGTCTCGTAGGTTGAGGAATTGTGACAGCAGATATAGAAGGGTCCCAGCTTCTGTTGGACAGCCAAATGTCTAGGAGAGAAATAACAGAACTGTGTATTTCCTCTAGGGCTGCTGCCTTTGATCTACCAAGACGTCAGAGAAAAATAGCCAACTGCCATTTCCCCTAATAGCTCAAGTCTACTTGGATCCCTGTTGTCTCTGGTTCTTTCTGCAGGTGGTTCCTCCTTGTCACCAGGGGAAATGTCAGCTGCCTTTGACTCTAACAAGTCCAAGTAGTCCTTTGTGATTCAACTGATTTAACGTCCCCACTTCAGCTCCTTCTGACATTCATCTCAATCAGCCACGCTTATCTCTCAAATTCTCAAAAGGTTATTGAGGGTTTTTTTTTTGTAGTTACAGTATTTGATATTTCTTGAATACCATAAACATTTTAATAATGTTGAATATTAGCTGTTCATTGGCATTGGGTATATCTTGAAAACTCAGATGACTAGTTAAACTGAGAGAACATGAAGCCTGATGTTTGGGGAGGTGTACCCCAAGTCTTTGTATGGTTAATGTATGCTCTGTTGGTGCTTACACAACCATATTTGGGATCATTAGATGTAAAATATTGAAAGAGCCTCATTTTTATTACTAAACTTAATATATATTCAGCCTTATTTTGTACGACAATGAATCTGAACAGTGTTTTTTGAACACTTATCAACTGGTTGTTGTGCTAAGGGCTTTACAGATATCTTATTTAATAGACATAATAAAATAAATATGTTCATAAAAATGATTCAACCTTTTGTGGTTTCTGGGAATTAAACCCAGGTGTTTTTAAAGAACAGCCAGTGATCATAAAGCTAAACTATCTCCCCAGCCACCAAACTTCCGTGGTTTCAATAACAACTTAAAAACATAAGTAATTGGTTTTTGTTTGTTTGTTTGTTTCTTTGGTTTTGGTTTTTGGAGATAGAGTTTCTCTGTGTAGCTTTGGAGCCTGTCCTGGCACTCACTCTGTAGACCAGGCTGGCCTCAAACTCACAGAGATTGGCCTGCTGCCTGTCTCTGCCTCCTGGGTGCTGAGATTAAAGGTATGCACCACTGCCACTGAGCTAAGGAATTGTAGATACACACACACACACACACACACACACACACACACAATTTTTTTCATATAGACAGTAATTCCTATGTGTATGTTTTTATTTGTGTTTACAGATGAATGACCACAGATCCACCATTCTGAGTTTAGGGTCATTTTCCTGGTATTTTTTACTGGTTTTGAGGGAGAAGGTTTGGGAAACACTATAGGGAGACATTGTAGGTAACCTGGTTAACTCACAGCTTTTTGTTTGGTTTTCAAAAAAAAAAAAAAAAAGGCATATTGTTCAATAAACCCCTATAGTACATGAAAGAGATAGCAATGGTCCCCAAAATTAAGCTATATGGACTAGAAACAATTCTTCATTTCTTTATGACTTTCCTTTCTTGTGAAAGTCTTAGTCTTTTGGCTGAGAGGTTGTCCAACTCTTATTAACTCATGAGACTTCCTTCCTTTTTTCCAAATGGAGAGTCCTCTGAACCCTAGTGTTGTTCTTTTGCTGCAGCTAATGCCTATAAAGCACAAACATGAGACTCAGGGCCCATGTGGAGTTTATTGAGAGAGGGGAGAGAAAGGGGGGTAGCTGGTAGCCAACCCAAAGCAGGAGAGAGAGAGAGAGAGAGAGAGAGAGAGAGAGAGAGAGAGGGAGAGAGGAGAGAAAGAGCAAGAGAGGGGGGCCAGAGAGAGAGAGAGAGGGGGCGTGCTTGGGGAGCTTGCTTTAAAAGGGGGGCTTGTGCATGCATAACTGAGTCCTCTGGCAGCCAGGTAAAGCCTGACATAGTGGTAACATGGCCATGAGTGTCCTGCCCATCGTTGGGGGCGGGGTCAGCAGGCTGCTAGTTCCTAACACCTAGTATGGATAGACACCTCTGCTGACATTCCAGTCATGTGCACAGAGTAGAGCCTAGGGAGGAGTGGAAAGAGAGAAGCAAAAGGTAATGATTTTGCTCACTCTCAGACTTGAATTAGCAATTCATATCTAAAAACACATGCAAATTACATTTTTTTTTTTTTTTTTTTTTTTACTAGAAATTGCTTTCTTTACCCACAGGACAAAACATTCCTTGAAAGGTGAGACAGTATTCTTCTGACATTGGACATGACTTGCTTCCAGCATGTGCCAGAAAGACAGCATTAACTGCAGCTGAAGACCACCTACTTCTTATTCTGAGTTTAGTCTCTGTGTCTGAACCAACAGGCCCCAGTTCTTAAAGAAAAGATGATAACCCATGCCTCACTCTCCACCGAGGGTGACTTGGACATTTTCAAGGCTTACTTCTGCCCTGAGCCACCCTCACCACTATCCTTAACTTGGTTTGGTCTTTACTTTTGTTTTAGGTCTGTTCCTCAGCAAAATCATGCACACAGAAATCCTTGGTGGTCATGCCCCTTCTCTTTACAGGGTTGGAAAAAGGCCTCCATTAAAAACAGAAGCAAAGTATCTCTTCTCTTTCTAACTTTTCCTCTACAGGTGACCCCTGAGGAGTTCATGAACTACTATGCAGGTGTGAGTGCATCCATTGACACGGATGTGTTCTTCATCATTATGATGACAACTGCCTGGAAGCTCTAAATGCCTGAACCTGGGGACCCGGCCGTGAAGATGGCCACATGATTCCAAATGATTAACCCTCAACTCAAAAACTCATAATGATCTTTTATCTCATCTTCATTGCACAGCTCCTTCTTTGCCAACACAGTGTATTTTCTAGGGCTGATATAAGGGCAGAAATAAAGTCACTAAGTGGTTAACTGTGGACATCTCCTCTGAATTTGTTTTCTCTTCTCTAAAATAGGAACTATTAAAGTTACATCTTTAAATCTAACACTGTGGCTGCTGGGTCATGCAGGTGTTCAATCAACTTGGTCATCAGCAAAATTTTGAGTATTGTACCTAGGACCTTACATTTGCCCAGATAGCTGATATTTTTTTTTCCATTTAAGCTAGGTGTGAGAATAACTATTCTATTTGTATATCTATAAACTCTTACAGGTTTTAGACTCAATTTTGGGACTAGAAGGAAATAACATACAGGATTCATAATTTCTGCAAGTGAATCTGGGTCTATGGAAGTCTCCTTTTGGCAAGTAGACTAAACATGAGTGTTTTGTTGATTTCTATCTTACTGATGTAAGAATGAAGGCCATTTTGTTGAATGGTAGACCTATGACTGCTCAACACCTCCCTGTAGCCAGACTTGTGAACTTCGTATGAACTCTACTATTTTATGTGAACAGCTTTACTGTGGTAACTAGCAAATTTTCCTTTGGTACAATGTTTGTCTAACTCTTCCTTCCCTGTTGTCAGACAACCATGTTGACAGTTCTAACAGGATGGGCATGGCCCAGATTAAAATCACAGAACATTCCAAAGCAGAGTCTTCATGATACTCGATACTTCATAATTCAAATCCTCCTTCCAGCACTCATCTCTTCCTGTATATTATAGAGGGGAGAATCAACCCATGAGGTACTAATAGCTATAAAGGAAGCCTCAGAAATAGAGAGAAATAGAGCCTGAAGCTGCAGATCCTACTCTGTATGATCTATACTTGGGGCCACAGACAACACAGTGAGCAGCTGTGTTGTGGTGCTGGGATGAATACCTAGTTGCATTTGTTGCTCAGAAGTCCTTTCTACAGACCCCATCTTTGGCTGTCTTTATTTATTGGTTTAGGGACATGAATTTGCTTGATGGTGTCTTCAAGATCTTCTTGAATTAAGTGGCTCAACAGAGTGAGTCTGAAGATACTTTGTAATTTTAACTTTTACTCCCATTATTTACCTTTTATCTTACACATTTTTCTGGGTTGAGATCATGATAAATATTGATTTAGAACCTGTGAAAACAGGTATTTCAAGATAATAATTATATCAGCTCTGTATTAATATATGTGTTTCTTGTTGGAGAAGCCTAATTTATTTACCTTAATGACTGGCTGGAGGAGAGACCTTTATCTTGATGTTGGACATGTCTTCATGTCATAGGAAGCCAAATTTCCCCCCCATTAATTGTACAAACCATGCTTTCCATTGTATTTTCTAACTAGTCTTCTGTAGAGAATGATAGGGCAACCAATACCAAACACAATAAGTAAATATTTAGAAATCACAAATATGCAGCAAAGTATAAATTTTTTTTTTGAGGCAGGGTTTCTCTGTATTGCTTTGGAGCTTGTCCTGGAACTCATTGTGTAGACCAGGCTGACCTTGAACTCACAGAGATCTGCCTGTCTCTGCCTCCCAAGTGCTGGGATTAAAGGTGTGTGCCACCAATGCCAGACCTGCAAAATATAATTTTTAAGCTTGTACCCTGAAAATTGTGGCTAAGGAGGAGTGCTGTTTCCTTGGCACAGTGGATTTCAAGCCTACTGCTCTAGATAGATTCATGTCTTTGATTATGTGTATGACTCATGTCTTGCTTAACGTGGGCTACAGAGTGAGCATGTGGTTTGGGTTGCAGCTATCAGCTCTGTCTCTTCCAGTGATATTTTGTTTCCTGTCTAATGAGGGTACAGGGTACAATGATCTGATTTTAGATAACTGTTGTGGGATATTTGTATACTGTGTGAAGGTGTTTTGCTGATTGGTGTAATAAAACACTGAACAGCCAATAGCTAGGCAGGAAGTATAGGCAGATTTCTGGGGAGAGAGACGAAGAAGAGGAGGAATCTAAGTTCACAAGAGATGCTAGGCCATGTGGAGAGGAAACAGGAGATGCAAGATGGAAGAGATGTAATGCCATGCACTAGAATGTATATTAGTATAAATGGGTTAATTTAAGTTATAAGAGTTAGGATCAAGCCTAAACTACAGGCTGAGCTTTCATAATGATTAAGAAGTCTCTGAGTCATTGTTTGAGAGCTGACTGGCAGGACAGAAAGAGACTCCTTACAGATAACCCTCGTCTGACAATACAAATTCAGTTGCTTCACCTCAGAGCTTCAGGTGCTAGAGTCAGGAGGAAGATTCCACCAAGGTCTTTTCATCTTAGAGAAACGAGACCTCTTAAGAACCTAATGTCTGAGAAACACTGTGCTCTTATTTTTTTAAAATCTCATTTATGATTTCAGAATCTATTTTTTAAGGAACACTGCACTCTTATTTCTTATTTCATCTACTATTTCTTATATACACAGTCAACCCTGACTAATTCACTCCATCTAGTAGTGATGGAAGGAAAAAGATAAGAACCATTTAAAAATATTTTCTAACAACTTATTGAATACTTTTCCAATTTATTTAACTTTTAGATTTTGAGCACAGTTCCATTTGTAATATGAAAGGTTCAGAAGGCTTGGTTCAGAAGACAAGACACAACAAAAGCCCCCAGAGCATTTCTAGGAAGCACTAGCCTACTGGATTTGAACCTTGTTTGGAAAAGAAGAGAAGGTAGACTTAGCAGATTTCACAAAACTAATGCCTGCAAACATTTACAAATTAGAATCTTCAGACCAAACCAACCTTACTGGTACTGAATCTGGACTATCTCTTTCAGAACATAATCCTGTGTAAGAACAGGAAGGGACTTATATCCTATCAAGAACTGTGTATAATGTACTTGGGTTTTATTCTCAGTGTAGATGAGAAACAAGATGTGCTGAATTATGTATGGACTGGAGCAGAATTCCTTCTGTCAGGCTGAAGGACTACGTTTTCACCACTGTCTTGGCCTCAGCAGGATCTTTCTATCCCTGTATGGCAATTAATTTTGCTCTGTGATGTTTATACACATGAGCATATTTATATTTCAAACTCTAACATCAACATCTCTGATTATTGAGATCCATGCTCTTCTGTGGAGTAGGGATGGAGCAGTGAGTTAGATGCAACCAGTGGCTTTTAAACTGCCCTAACATCCAACAACTGTTAATAGATCAGAGAGGGGAGAAAGAGAATATGACACTAGCACTGAAATTTCCCTCTCCATCTCTCATCCAGCCCTTCAAGCCAGATAGCAGCAACTCATCATATGGCACTGTAAGTAAACTATAAATCTTGAAAGTCTATCAAGACAATGCAAGCATAATCCCCTCCTATTCTTGGAAGTAGATAGTTGCTCTATCCCTTCAGTTGTCTTGGGCAATATAGATTGCTTCATTGGACCATGAGAGTACAAGCAGGAAATGACCCCACCCTCACAAACCTATCTACAGTTGATCTGTTATGCTGATGTTTAATCAAGGAGAGAGATTAAATTGATCAAATATATTATTAGCTAGTGTGTGGGTACGCTTCTATTTCTGCTTGATAAAATTGTATTAACATCTTTCTCTTGATTTATGAAAATTTGTTTTGAGTACAGAATGCAAAATACACAACTTCCAACTTTCCAAATTGGCCAACATGCATTCTTTCTTGGAAATTACTGTCATTATTTTAATTTAAAAAAACCTATTGGATGAAGGAGAGAATAATTCAGTCACAGAAATGCTCATGACCCAAGGGGAAAACAAAGATTTTGAAGGGTTTTTAAAATAAGAGTTTCCTAAATACAGCCCCAAGGTTTTAAATTTTAAAAATGCTGTGACTCAAAGTAAAAACAAAAGCTCTAAGGGTCTGACATACACTTGATTAGTTTGACAGACAGCTTTCTCAGCAATGGTTTGATTCCTCCAAGTCTATCTGAAAGCTGTGTACTAGGCTAGATCTGGTTAAGTTCTTCTGTTCTAGCAGAAAACCTCCCCACATTAATGCTTCGAATGGATTCTTCTAAAATAGATGATGGGTGGAATCTGTTGAAAGATGTATAAGCAAATGATTTATGGGGCTTCTGAGAACCCTGCTGTGAGAAGACTTCTTTCTGGCAGTCTGGGTTGATGCGGTAAGAGACTGTGGTGAAACAGCCCTTCCTCTCTGAGAATAGCACAGCCTTCTTCAGTTCTCACACCTGCTTTTCAAAGCCAGTTTTCCCTTCCCCTCAGAAAAATGTAGTGGAAGTAGAGCTCACTGAGAATATAAGCAGCTGGGTTTCTGACATGGATTTCACATCTAGCAGTACGGTAAAGTGCTCTGCTGGAAGAACCCTCAAAATGTCATAATTATTATTTTTTTTTGTCACTTGTATTGAATTCTTCTCCCGACTCTTTATAACAGAATTCAGAACAGAATTCACTGACCTAATCACTTGTCACCGGCATTGATCTGGGAGCATCTTGCCCTAGATAGATAGAGCTTGGAAGGTCCCAGGGGCTGGTATCCTAGAAACGCTCAGGCTGTGTGCAGAACTCATAACAATCAGCAGTCTAAAAGACTCAGAACAGAATGGGGACTGAAAAATTGAGAGAAAATGATGGATGGCAGAGTGGCTTGCTCCTATCAGGGCTCTCTTGGGTCTTGGTGCTTCTACACTGATGGGATAAAGTACTTCACAAATGTGGGGTATTATCCAGTGGCAGGCATTGCCTTACTAAGTTCAAGACATTCCTTTCATTTCCAAGGGAACAGAGAAATAAAGTACCATTCCACAAGTTTCATACTTACTCATGTCTCAAATATCATTTAGCCATGTCATTCAAAATCTATTTACATCATTGAAGCTGCAAAGTTCATGCGGTAAATCACTGAGAATTTCAACTCCACTAATTGAAATTGAAGTCATTTGAAAAGTGTTTGAGTAGAAATTCACTTTTATTTCATCTAAACTACAAACAAAAGCAAAGTTGTAAACACTAGTAATGTGACAATACTTATAAAGGCTGTGTCTGCCTTTAACTATATGTTTATGGGAGATATCTATTTGCCTATAACTATAATC